GGCTGGCCTCGCATGTAGTGTAGGGACTTGTGGTCCGTGCGAACAGTGACGTCGGCACCCACCAAGTAGCAGCGCCATAGTTTGAATGCATGTATAATTGCGAGCATCTCCTTGTCGTGTATCGGGTAGTTGCGCTCAGCTGACTACAGCTTACGTGACTCGTAGGCGATCGGCTGCAGCCCGTCTCCGGAATCTTGGAGGAGTACAGCTCCGATGGCGAAATCTGAGGCGTCGGTGATGACTTCGAACGGCTTCGATGGGTCGGCGATGCGTAGTACCGGAGGGGAAACCAGAAAATTTATAAGTTCCTAAAGGCCGCCTCAGCTTCCTCCCCCCACGCAAAATTGATGTCCTTGTGCAGCAGATCAGTCAGCGGGCCGGTTATCCCCGCCATATTCGGGATAAACCTCCTGACGTATAATTCTGACAATTCACGAACCCCAGAAATTTTTGAACTTCCGTGATGTTAGTCGGGGACTTCCACTCCTGTATAGTCTTGATTTTCGCCGGGTCGATTTTAATGCCGTCGCGGGAGATGGCGTGCCCCAAAAACTCCAATGCCTGTAGCCACTTAAATACTGCGTCGAGGTCGCGGAGGTGTTGTTCCCTTGTCCTGCTGAAATTCAGAATATCGTCCAAGTATACGATAACACACTTGTCAAGAAATTCCCTGAAAACTCTGTTCATGGTCAGTTGAAAAGTCGAAGGCGCGTTTGTGAGGCCGAACGGCATCACTTCAAATTCGTAGCTTCCGTAGCGCGTGCGGAACGCGGTCTTGTAACAATCCTCAGCGAAGACCCGTATCTGATGGTAACCGCCACGTAAGTCGATTTTCGAGAAGTAGCGAGCGCCACGAAGTTGATCGAGTAGGTCGTCGGTGTGTGGGATGGGATAGCGAAATTTGATAGTAACCCGGTTGAGCGCGCGATAGTCGATACACATGCGAAGCCCGCCGTCGTTTTTCCGGCGTGAATAGGATCGGGGCTGGGAAGGGAGATGTACTGGGTCAAATAAACCCCTTCACCAGCAAGCCATCAATTTGGCTTCGCAGCTCCTCGAGTTCCAATTGGGTCAATCGCCACTGTGTACGAACAGTCGGCTACATGCCAGGTTCCAGCTGTATTTTGTGGTCCTCGGGTCGTTCAAGTGGCAGTCCAGGTGGCAGGTCGTCGGGGAAGATGTCGGGGTACTGTCGAATCAGCTCCGCTAAATCCGGCGGTACAGCTGCACACAGCTTCTTGATGTCTTGTCCGTCGGTGTCGGTTGCAAACTCGCGCAAGCATACGGCGAACAGTTGCGCGCCTCGGTTGAAGTGGCGAGCTATAGTGATAGCTTTGACGCACGGGGCTTGGATGTAGTCAGGTGTCCATGCAGGCAGTTTAATTAGCCCCTCGTGCTTGTTGAAGCAGCACGATCCCGTTGTCCAGTCGATGACGGGGTTGTGACGTCGCAGCCAATCACGTCCCAGTAGCACGTCACAGCCATCCAGAGTTGTCGCGAGATACTTCATGCTGAATCCGAAAATGTCACCGCACTCGATCCTCACCGTCCGTGTTTCCTCCAAAATCGCCAGAGGCGTTCCATCCACGAGGCGAGCGTCAATTTCGGGCAGACACCTGTCAAGTTGCAGCTTGCATTTTTTTGTTGTCGCCAGATTGAAGAGGCTATGGCTGGCCCCACCATCGACGAACATTTTCAGATTAACTTTTAACACTGTGCCAACGACCAGCACAGGGTGATCCACATGGTTATCCCCGAAAATCGGCCGAGTGCGATCGATTGCATGAATCGGAACCACTACACGGTGGGGATGGTGGAGTTCGGGCGACGGAGCATAGTCAGTAAGGGGCCCGTTAATTACTGACTCTTCCCATTTCCCTGCTCCTTCCTGTCGTCCCCCTTCGCCGGCGTTCTCTCAGGGCATTTGCTCATGTAGTGACCCGTCTTCCCACACCGATACCACTGCCCCTTAAAAGGGTGCCCAGGTGTATGGACGGCGTTGATTGTGGTCCGTTGGGTCTGGCCACAAAAACGGATTCCCTCCCGGGAAGCTGTTCTCGCGTACTGCATCAGTGCATCCGTGGACGCTGCCAACCGTATTGCTTCCAGGAACGTTGTCGGGCGGTATCGGCGCACCTCGTACTGTACTTCGTATTTAAGGCCGCTGATGTATTTATCCAACCGCTCTGCTTCCGACATATCGCCCACTTGGTCGGCGAGTGCCATGAATGACGCAGTGTAGTCCTGGACAGATGCCATCTGCAACCAGGCACGCAGCTTCATGCGAGCTTGGTCCGAGGCGGATACGTGCTCGAAGCGATCTCGTAAGGCTGCGCCCTGTCAGAAGAAGGAAACAGTAATGTAAGGAAGAAGAGCATTGTACTAGCAGGTAGGTGGAGTACATATAGGAAACCCTAAAAGGGTTGTACTCTCTGTTGAGTACCCCACTACAGCCTACACAGCAAATAACATTTTGACACACCCCCACAGGCGAAGTGGGGGATAGTCAACACAACAAGCAGTTGCCGGACCAGTTCACAGGCAAAGTCTAGTGGCAGAAACAGAGGGCAGGTGAGGAGGAGGAGGGACCAGGAGAGGAGAGGAGGAGGTGGGCGGCCGCTGAAGCTGCTGGCACACGGCGCAAACTGGAGCTACTGGCACACGGGCAACTGGAGCAACTGGCACACGGGCAACTGGAGTAACTGGCTCCGCGGCTAGACGAGCGGTTGGAGCAACTGACTCACGGGCGACTGGAGCAACGGGCTCACGGGCGACTGGAGCTGTGGACTTCACGACGGCCACCCGCCTTCAACCTCCTCGCATTATCCCAAACCCCCTTTCACACCCCTCGGCATCCCTAGCGCCACTCCCTCGTCTCCCCCACACCCTCCCCCCCCTTCAGCGGCAGCTGCAGTAGTGGGAGAGAGAGGAGGAGGAGCGGCAGCTGCAGTAGTGAAGAGAGAGGAGGAGGAGCGGCAGCTGATCACTCACGCCCGCCACCCCCATACCCTCCCCCCCACGACTGCACGCGCAGCAGGGAGATGGAGGAGAAGGGGGGGGGGGGGGAGGGGACGGGGTAGGAGCTGCTCCGCGGCTGCAGATGCGCGTGCAGTGAAGGAGCAGGCGCGCGCCCCGCAGTCGCCACGCACCGCAGCAGGGCGCGCACCACAGCAGGGAGGGCGGGGCGTGCGACGGGCAGGATCCGTCGCGCGCCAGGGGCGTGCGACGAGCAGGATCCGTCGCGCGCCCAGAGCGCGCGGCGGGCAGAAACCGTTGCGCTCCCGAGGCGCGCGACGGGCAGAAAACGTCGCGCGCCCGGGGCGCGCGACAGGCAGGAAATCGCCACGCTCCCGGGGCGCGCGACTGGCAGGAAGACAGCGGAAGCGATTGGTGGGCCCAACATGATCGACTAGACAGGGTCGACCTGCTCTGATAGCATGTCAGAAGAAGGAAACAGTAATGTAAGGAATAAGAGCATTGTACTAGCAGGCAGGTGGAGTACATATAGGAAACCCTAAAAGGGTTGTACTCTCTGTTGAGTACCCCACTACAGCCTACACAGCAAATAACATTTTGACACGCCCCACTCATTCCACGTGCATATCTTGGTAACTCCGAAGATTGAGGTTGCCACTTGATTAGCCGATGTTGAGGTCCCGTCTGCCGCATGTGTCACACCTGTCGGAGTCCCTGTGTCCAAGGTGTGGCGCCACCATTCAAGCGCTGCGCCTCGAAGTAGAGAAACCGCGTAATTAATACGCGTGGCATCGTCGTGGACGTTCGCTGCAGTGAAGAAGACTTCAACGTTGAAGAGCCACCCCTTCACTGTAGTCGTCTTATCCGTAGAATTGAACTGGGGCGGGTTTGCAGGTTTAATCGTCGTTACTGCAACTGGCGTCGATGCCGCTCGCTGCCTATCTTCTTCTTCGAAGCCGCGTGTGAGCGCGTCCAACGGATTGCTCATCGCTTGACTGTTGCCTTCACCTTCTTCATCGGGCGACTCCTGACGCGTTTCACCTTGCGTCTGGCGTAGCTCGGTGTTTTCCACACGTAGTGTTGTCACTTCCACTCGTAGCTCTTGCATTTGCGCCATCATCTTGTTCAACGCTTCTTGGTCCATGAGTCGCACGCTTCGTCTGGTGGGCAGAGGGGTATCCGTGGCCTTCAGGCAAAAGGAACGCAAAAACTATTGGAGTCGGGCAGGTTAGAGTTAACGAACATTGCAGCCAATCGTTTTGCAGTCCACTGTACCAGCCACATCCGTGCCACCAAACTACCCTCGAAAAGCGGGGTGAACTAGGAAAGTAGCTCTGATACCAGGTGTTATGAGTTGTAAAAGGGAGTGCGCAGGATAACGAATAACGAAGATGTGACTTAACGAACTGACAATACAATGAAGGCACACGACTATATAGCGACTACCCTAGCTAGGAGGGAACCTCGGGAAATGAGGTTGGGTGCAGGTTTGGCGATCGGAAGGCCGAAGGTGACGCGAGGAGCCTCGGCATCGTGGATGTCGGCCGAACGTGCAAGTCCGAAAATCGGGGTTGTACGCGTAGCAGTCAAGCCCGATAAGGAATTCGGAAAAAATCCTTACATTATGGAGCCTCATATATGTTACCATTCGCATGTTTTCCCCGTTTATAGCACCAGGACCGACAACTTTACCCCACTCACATACGAAGGTCCAACTGCTACCAGAGCACAACCGCTGCTACCACCTTTGTCCTTTCGCACCACGATGCCCGCGCCTGCCTTCGCCTGAGCACTGCTGTATCCGTCCATATGGCGTCCACCGACCCCCATCACTCTCCGCCCATTCTCCCCACTTCCCCGCTGTTGCCTCCCGCACCGCACTTCCCCTCTTCCCCTTCGTTCGCCCCTCCGTTGCCCTCCGCATCTCCGCCCTTTCTTCCGCCCCCCGCGTCCCCATATGCAGAGGGTTTTGCCTGGCTTGGCAGCACCCGCACGCCTCGCTTATATCGCGGACATGGTTTGCTTTAGTCACCGTTGTGCCGCCGCTCCTCTTCCTGCTCTTCCTCCTCTCCCGCGTCCGCCCCGCTCTGGCGCAGCTGCGGCGCGCGCGCAGCGCGGGCATGATGGGCGGGCAGTGCGCCGTGATGGCGGGATTTTACGCGCTGCTGTGGGCCGCCGCGGGAACGAACCTCGTGCGCAGCCTGGCGCAGGTGAGGCGCGGAATGGCGCAGGTGAGGCGCTGAACGGCGCAGGTGAGGCGCGCAACGGCGCAGGTGAGGCGCGGAACGGCGCAGATGAGGCGCGGAACGGCGCAGGTGAGGCGCGGAACGGCGTTGATGTGTGGGGCGGCATGGGGAGGGTGGTGGGGGTCAGCTTGGCGGGAAGTGGAGATAAGAGTAGGGAGGTGGGGAAGACGGATGTCCGTGGACCAGCTGGCACTGCGCCACGCAGCACTGCGCCAGGCAGGCAGCACTGCGCCAGGCAGCACTGCGCCAGGCAGGCAGCACTGCGCCACGCAGCACTGCGCCAGGCAGGCAGCACTGCGCCACGCAGCATTGTGCCAGGCAGCACGGTCAGAGCACATTGCCAGCGCTGATGCCATCGATTGCAGCTTGCAGCCGTGCTTTGAGGGGTCCTCTTCTGCTCCCTCCCCTCATCACCTCATCCCTCTGCTTGCCGTGGCTAGTCCATTTCGCTACTTGCCGTGGCTCTCTCATTCGGCTGCTCGCCCGGCTGCCCTTCTCACAAATGAAATCTTCCCTTTCAAACGGTCTAGAGCATGAGAAGCTTTGAAGAGAATGGCATGGAACACCAATAGTGGGCGGAGTGTTGAACCGCTGTCACCTCCTCACTTCAGACCCCTCGCTGTACGAACACACCAGCTTACTATGGTACATAGCATCAGCATGGGTCTGACTTGGCCGCCTCACTCCAGGCTGCGATGCGCGGGCAGGTGGACGGCTGAGCCAGCGGTGGCTGGCGTGGCGTGGCGAGTGATACGGTGGCGAGGCGAGCGAGTTCACACGAGCTGGCCTGGGCTCGTCAATGAGCGTACCGGCTTGTTTCTGGAATTCCGCAGCGACATGTGTGTGTTGTTGGGATTCCAAGCGTTCTGCAGCAAGGCCCACGACGTGGTGCCGCCAGGTGATGCGGATCGCCACCACAGCTGCGCGAGCATGCCACTTCACTCCCCATCAATGCCTTTTGCTGCCACATGCGCGTGGAGCTGCCATGTCGCGGCTAGGTCTGGGTCGATGCAATGTTTTGAGCGTGGAGCCTATTGCTCGTTGAGCCACTTGCCGGGTTTGGCTGGTCATAACAGCTGCGATGCGACGAGCTGAAATGGGCTTGGACCGACGAGACAAGCCAGGCAGAGGAAAACCTTCCCGCTGTGACGAGTGGAGGTGAGGAGGTGAGGCAATGGCTTGTGAGTAGTATTTTGGCATGTTGGTCTGGACAGAGTGTGCAACGCTGCAAGGTCGAGTCTGTCATCACAGCCCCACCGGAAACGTGAACCGTGATTGGTGAACCAGACTCTACCATGCGTGCTCCATTGCACACTGGTGTGTGATCACCAGCCGTTGTCAGAGAAGATGCACACTGGTGACTGCACCCCCACTGCACACTGGTGACTGCACCCCCACTGCACACTGGTGACTGCACCCCCACTGCACACTGGTGACTGCACCCCCACTGCACACTGGTGACTGCACCCCCACTGCACACTGGTGACTGCACCCCAACTGCACACTGGTGACTGCACCCCCACTGCACACTGGTGACTGCACCCCCACTGCACACTGGTGCAGCGAGAATGCAATAACTCAGATGCTCATAATCATGGAGGCGTATGTGTTGGGCTCACTGCAAATGCATCCGTCAAACCTGTGAGGTATTCCGTCCATTGTCAACGGGAAGTTGCGTCTCTGTCGCGTTGCTGTGGCACTGCGGTGCGACTGACTCGCTCCCACCTTCTCAAACTTCAACTCACATGCCCTTGTGATTTCGTCCTTGCCACCCTTCAACTCAACACTGGGGCAGCACAACTCCACGTTCCCTGCACCGCCGGTCGGACTGCTCACATGCACATGATCCATGAAGGGCAGAGAGTGCCCATGCCTCGCCTCGCACTCCATGGGGCAAATAGGCGCGGAGCTTGCCGTGAATAAAGTGTGTCTCACTAACTTGGCCACGGGGATCCGTTTGTCCTCGTCCAGGGCACACTGATCAACGCCTTGTCCTGCACCCCGTACATGCATGATCCAGGTCATTTGCACAGGTGCATAAGTGTGGTGAGTGGTGACAACAAATGTATCAAGTGTTCTTAACAGATCTGAAGCGGAGTTGATGTGGTGAAGTGGTGGTTGGATACAACGTGGAAGAGAGAGTAGATGCTAGGCTGTAGCAACGAGATGGACGCAAGAGCAATGCCATCCATGCTCCGGCTGTATCTTTTCTCTTTTGAACCCACGGGAAACTGAGGCGCCTGCTGGTTGACACACTTCTGGGCGAGTGGGTGTGTCAACCAGGATACTGCTGCTGCGCCTGCAGGCAGCAGCGCGTGGCTGGCGGCGGGGCGGGTGGTGGGGGCGCTGGAGGCGGGCGTGCTGCTCTTCCTCATGCACGGCGTCCGCATGTCCGCCTCCGAGGCCATGCTGCGCACCGCTCTCATCGCTGCCATCCTCGCTGGCGCTGACGTGGCAGTGAAGGTGAGGCGTTGAAGCACCAGCATGGCCCGCATGGCCAACTATGTACCTCTGCCACTGCAGCCCTGCCCTCCCCCGCTGCCGTCCCCCAACGCCCTCCTCCCATGCACTGTGCACAGAGCCGCCTGCCCATACTCCCCTTTGCATGCCTCTCCCCTTCCTCTCTCTCGTTCCCTCCCTTCTCATTATTGCACCCCTCTTCCTCTCTTCCTCTCTGCGCCCTGCCACCACACCCTCGTGCCACCGCCACACCCCCCGCCCGTGCCCCGCTGCGTGCGCCATGGCCAGGCGTCGCTGGTGTTCCACCACGCGCTGCCGCTCTTCCAACCACGCCCTGCCGTCGCCACGGCGGGCGCCGTGTGGCTCTTCTGGCTCGCCCACGACGCCCTCCGCGCCGCTGTCTACGCCGCCCTGCTCTCCCTGCCACTCTCCCAGTGGCGCGACGCCCTCCCTGGTGGGTGGCATTCGCTGTCTTATTATAATGCTGCAGTAGCCGGGGAGAGAGAGGCGGGTGGGTGCAAGGGTGCGGGGAGAGCGAGAGTGGTGAAGGAAGCATGGAGATGTGTGCGAGGGTGAGAGAGTTGGTGTGGTTGATCGTCAACAGTCGTGCCACCCTTGACGCTCACGCCATGCACTCACGCCATGCACTCACGCCATGCACTCACGCCATGCACTCACGCCATGCACTCACGCCATGCACTCACGGCATGCACTCATGACTTGCCGTCCCGTCCACTGGCTGTGAGCAGCGCGCCCCGCCTTCCACCGCTACCTGCTGCTGCTGCTGCTGCTGCACTCTGCCTCTGCCTTCGCCTCTCTCCTCCTCACCCTCCACGTGCCCGCCGCCCTCTGGTCAGTACATGTACTCTGTTCTTCTCACCCTGCACTTTTCTCCTTGCACTATTCATGGCATTTGTTTCTTGGATAGTTGTTTGAGTGGCATTTGTTTCTTAAATAGTTGTTTGAGTGGCATTTGTTTCTTGAATAGTTGTTTGAGTGGCATTTGTTTCTTGAATAATTGTTTAAATGCCGCCAAAAACACGCCTTCATGAGCATCGATGGGTCTGCATGCGCATGCATGGATGTGCATTGGTATGCATGCATGGATTTGCATGGGAATGGATGGGTATGCATGGGTGCTGCTGTGCCTCCTATCCAGCATGCGAGGGCTGGCAGTGTGTGTGTACTGGGCGCTCTTCCCTCCGCTGCTCTACATCACCTTCCTTGCCGACTTCTTCCAGGTGCCCTCTCCCTCCACTTGCTTGCGTGCCCGCACCCATCCCTACACATATCCCTGCACCCATGCCTACACGCATGCCTGCACACGTGCATGCACACATGGCATTGGGCGGGCAATAAGCCGAGGCCTGTAGATTGAGCCACCACAGGGTGTGGTGCTTCATGTTGTTAACCTACTTGAGCGACGGCTGCACTGCTGACGTCAACAAGCTACTGTGCCACGCCATCGAGTTGCCCACTTGACTCCAATCCTTACCTCTCCCAATCGCCACTCCCATGCGTCTCTTCTTCGCCACAGCATGCCACACTCTGCTGCCTCTGCCGCCACCTGCACTCACCCACCTGCCTGCAAACTCGTTTCTTCCTCGTTCCCCTTGCCCTCCCCTTCTCCTCAACGCCCCTCATAGGACGAGGACACAGAGGTGGAGGATGCATACTACTCGGAGATGAGGGATGCAGGGGTCTTTGATGCCGATGGGAACTGGGACTGACCGTCTGCCCATGCTCCCATGTGAAGCGCCTCCGAGTCATGTGCGTGCTCCACATCTGCTCGGCACGCCTCCTGATGTCCCACCAATGTGATTTATTCGTGTATAATGTAAAGTCTCCGCCTTTTTTTTTTGGGTTGCGGAGCAACCTATTGCAATCGAATGGACCTAATTTTTTTTTCACTATTTTTTTAATAACCTAAAACACGGTTAAATAAAAAGAAGAAAACTTCGAACAAAGTTGATAATCATACCTCTTATATGCCAGACTTAATTGGGCTTCATATAAATTTAACTGGCCATGTATCTTTCTGTTGAATCAGTAGTGAAATGCAGTGAATGACCTTGTATTTCTCCTTGTGTATACCATCTAGTATACACGAGACGTAAGCATATTCATCAAATGAATCGATGAATATGTCTCCCAGTTTTAATTTGAACGAACTAATAGTTTGTGTCAGTTAACGAATAAATATTATACTACCGCTTCCCCAGCCTAGCATGGGGGGGAAGTTGTCAAATATACTAAGTAGTCGGGCCTAGGCTTAGTAGCAGGCCCTACGATATCAGGAATTTTACCCTGAAATTCCTGATTTTCAGGGTTTTTTTTTTACCTACCCTGAAAATCCAGTGTTCAGCTTTTCCTAGGGCTGATTTTTCAGCCTTCACATGCCACATGACTCTGAACTTTCAGCAATTTTTTTGAAGTGACACTGATGCCTTTACGTTGTAACGAGTTTGACCCTAAAAGCGAATCCTACTAGGTACGAGTGTACTTGACCGGAAGTACTGGGAAAATCAGATTCCCGCGGTGTCAGCAGGGCCTGTCGTTGACTATCGGACAATTTTGCCCACACTGATGGCCCCTTAGTTGGCGCGCCTGGTCCGATCATTGGCCACATTTGCAACATTAAGTGACTTGACCAATTACAAGGTTGCAGCACAGAGATGCTGGCAGGCTGCGCTGCGAGGGATTCTGGCGGTCTAGGTCGTGCTGGCAAGCACTGATGCATCCACGCCTCCCAGCCGTGCTACCTGCCATCCAGCCTCACATCCCGTTGTGCTGTTTGCTTCCTTCCTAGTGTTTTTACTACTAGTAAAATAAAGACTACTAGTATCAGCCTTTTTCTGTAGGGAACACTGATGCATCAGACTTTTTTTTTTAAGTAACACTGAACTTTCAGACTTTTTTTTTAGGCGACCCTGACGATCAGGGTCTAGGGGCAGAGGGACCCTGATACCCTTACGTGCCTAAAAGTGAATCTGAGGGCCTGCCTAGTAGCCTAGGCCACAGGAAGACTAGAACGAGGCACCACGTACGAGCGAGAGGTGTGAGCATGAACAGAAAATGAGGAAGGAATGGTTGGACTAGCAAGCACCAGGATACAAATAGCAAACTCTAAGGGGTTGTACTCACTATTGAGTACCCCACTGCAGGCTACACAAACAACATATTCTAACACACCCCCATAGGCAAAGTGGGGTATAATCAGTACCGCATGAAGTCATAAAATAGTCCACAAGCCCAAGTAAAGCTAGGGGTAGTCACAGAGGGCATGTGAGGAGGAGGAGGGACTGTGAGAGGAGAGGAGATGGGAGGCGACGGCGGAAGCTGCAGACACACAGGAGCTGCTGGCTCAGTGGCTACCGAAGCAATGGCCCGGACTACAGGAGTAACTGGCTCCGCGGAGATTGTAGCCTCCTGACTGGAGCAACTGACCCACAGGCAACTGGCGACTACCGGAGATTGTAGCCTCCGGACTACTAGTGCTGCTGGCGACACGACTGCGACCTCCGCTCAACCTCCGCCAACTGCCCCACGCCCCTATCACACACCCCCTGCTGAACCCCTAGCTCCACTGCCACGTCACCCCCCTAGGGCCACTCCCCTCGGCTCCCACACCTCCACCCCCCCCAGCAGCAGCTGCAGCAGTGGGAGACAAAAAAGGAGGAGGGGAAAGGGAAGGGAAGCACCCACACCTCGCACCCCCATGCTCGTCACCCCACACCCCCACCACCGCGGAACGCACGACGGAATGGGAGCAATGGGCAGCACGGGGGGGGACGGGACGGGCTGCAGGGACGGGCCGCGGGCTGCTGCAGGGGTGGCTCGCGCGGATCCTGGGGCGGCTGCTGCAGGCACGGGCTGCTCCAGGGGCGGCTGCTGCAGGTGCGGGCTGCTCCAGGGGCGGCCGCTGCAGGTGAAAGGTAGGAGGGAGGGGGGGGGGGGGGGGGGGGGGGGGAGGAGCGCGGCCCCCAGGGCGCCCCGACGGGCGACGAGAAAGGGAGCCGCGCGGGCCCCCGAGAGCGCCCCGACGGGCGACGGGAGGGGACCGCGCGCGGGCCCCCGCGGTCGCCACGACGGGCGACGGGAGGGGAAGCCGCGCAGGCCCCCGAGAGCGCCTCGACGGGCGACGGGAGGGGACCGTGCGCGGGCCCCCGTGGTCGCCACGACGGGCGACGGGAGGGGAGGCCGCACGGGTCCCCGAGAGCGCATCGACGGGCGACGGAAGGGGACCGCGCGCGGGCCCCCGTGGTCGCCACGACGGGCGACGGGAGGGGAGGCCGTGCGGGCCCCTGAGAGCGCCTCGACGGGCGACGGGAGGGGACCGCGCATGCCCCCCAAGGGCACCACGACGGGCGCCACGTAAGGGTAAACCGCCACGCGCCCCGAGCGCGCGGCGGGCAGAAACCCTAATTTCGGCGCCGCGCACCACGGGGCGCGCGGCGGACAGTACGGCAGCGGAAGCAGGTGGTGGGCCCATACACAGGAAGGCGGTAGAGATGCCGCCCTCTGATACCATGTCAAATATACTAAGTAGTCGGGCCTAGGCTTAGTAGCCTAGGCCACAGGAAGACTAGAACGAGGCACCACGTACGAGCGAGAGGTGTGAGCACGAACAGAAAATGAGGAAGGAATGGTTGGACTAGCAAGCAGCAGGATACAAATAGCAAACTCTAAGGGGCTGTACTCACTATTGAGTACCCCACTGCAGGCTACACAAACAAAATATTCTGACAGAAGTCAGAAGTATAAACAAAACCGTGACAACGCAATACAGTCTGCAAATCCCAAACAAATATCTACACCGATCAAGTCCAGCTGAAAATAGCTCCACTGTTATAATGGGGCGCCACTCAACCTTTTGTGACGATGATCGACAAGATATCTCTTCGAAATATGCAGACATGCATTACGGTTGCAACAAAAAGCATAGTACAAACAGAAATGAAACAAATAAAAAATTACTCAGAATCATAATTAACTCAAACAATTGCACTACAAGTTGTACGACAAAATTGTTTCCATCCCATCCCACCAATGAACCGATATCTGCAATAACAAAGTAATGGATAAGACGGAACAAAGAAGTCCAGAGAGCTATACATAAGAAGCTTATGACGGGAAGGTAAGAAAAGTGCACTCTTGAATCAAAAACAGAAAATGACATTTGAACATAATGATGCTATGAAGGAGAGAGCATAGGGTGAAAGAGAAAAGAAACACATCATATAAAAAGCCAGCGATTGTAATCCTCGATAGTATTTCGAGTAACAAGAAGAATGAAGGAACGAAAGATAAGACGAGGAAGGAAGAAAGAAGAACATACGGTTGACTTGAAGAGAGGCGACGACTGAAAAGGGAAGTAACAAATGCACGTCAACTTAGGAAGAAAGGAGCAGAGAAGAAACTGCGAAAGCATCTAAAGAATAACGGAGGAGAAAAGGTAAGACATGTATGTCAAACTTATATGCTATAGTCTGTGTAGGCTGTACTGGGGTAGATAATATGGGGTACAACACTTTTAGGTTTTCCTATTTGTACCCACCTCTTTCCTAGTGCATTCATTCCTCGTTCTTTCACATGGTATAGAGCAGGTTCCCTAGTGGGAACGGTTCCTAGGACCCACCGAAAATCATTTTTTTTTTTCCTGCACGGAGCGCGCTTCGCCCCTGCCCGAGTCGCGCCCCGTGTGCCTGCCCTCCTGTCGCGTCCCCTGCCCTTAGCGGCTCGTCGCACCCTCTTACGGCCCCATAGCGGCCCCTCTCACGGCCCCTCGCGGCCCCTTCGCCGCTCCCTCGCGGCCCCTCCGCGGCCCTTCGCGGCCCCTCTCACGGCCCCTCGCGGCCCCTTCGCGGCTCCCTCGCGGCCCCTTCGTGGCCCCTCGCGGCCCCTTCTCGGCCCCGTCGCCGCGCCTTCGTGGCCCCTCGCGGCCCCTTCGTGGCCCCTCGCGGCCCCTTATCGGCCCCTTCGCCGCCCTTAGCGCCCCCCCCCCCCCCCCCCCCCTCGCGGCCCCTTCACGGCCCTGCCACCCCGCCGCCGCCGACAGCAGCAGCCCCCGCCGTCGACAGTAGCAGCCACCGCCGCCGCCGACAGCAGCAGCCGCCGCCGCCGCCGCTGCCGTGTCAGCCGCCGCCGCCCCTGCCCCGGCCGCAGCAGGCGCCGCCGCCGACAGCAGCAGCCGCCGGCGCCGACAGCAGCAGCCGCCGCCGCCGTCGACAACAGCAGCCGCCGCCGCCGCTGCCGTGTCAGCCGCCGCCACCCCTGCCCGCCGCGGCACCCTGGCCCCTGGAGCAGCCGCCGCTGCTGCAGCCGCCCCTGGCCCCTGGAGCAGCCGCCCCTGCAGCAGCCGCCCCTGGCCCCTGGAGCAACAGCTGCGGAGCCCTCGCCCTGCGGTGGTAGCGGCCTCACCATTGCCGCTGTCGTACTCCTGCCCTTCTTGCCACTCGGGAGCTCTGCTGTTCCTGCTGTTACTGCTGCTCTTGCTGCTACTGCTCTTTCTACTGCTACTACTGCTCCTGGCGTGGCCAGATGCAGTTCCAACGCCGTCCGCGTGAGTCCCTCGCCCCCCATCAGCTTCGTGAGTGGTACGCTAGTTGGGGTTGTAGGGGTGGCCGCACTGCTACTACTGCTACTGCTTCTACTGCTGCTACTGCTGCTACTGCGGCTACCACTGCTCCTGCTGCTCCTTGCGGTGGCCAGATGCAGCTCCAGCGACTTC